AGGTGAAGGTGGAGGAGGTGGTGGTGGAGGTGAAGGTGGTGGAGGTGGAGGTGAAGGTGGTGGAGGTGGTGGAGGTGGAGCAGGTGGAGGTGGAGGTGGTGGAGGTGGTGGTGGAGGTGAAGGTGGAGGTGGTGGTGGAGGTGAAGGTGGAGGTGAAGGTGGAGGTGAAGGTGGTGGAGGTGGTGGTGGAGTTTGTGTTCACGGGTGGGCGGGGCTAATCCGAGTGGGCGTGGCCACGCTCTTGTCGTCATCAGCCACGCGGGGGGCGGGGCCTAGCAAATGACGCTGAGCCCCACGTGGTCGATCGCCACGCCCCCTCTTTTGCATATTTGAAACGAACGCACAACCAACAACAACCAACAACAACAACCAACAACAACAACCAACAACAACAATAATAAACAACAACAATAATAAACAATAATAATAACAACGAAGGGCGAGGGGAGGAAGTGGAATTAAATAAATAAATACGCGCGGGGGTGGGGGGTGGGGGAAATAAATAAATTGGCGCGCATCATCATCATCGTCATCATCATCGTCATCATCATCATCGTCATCAACGTCATCATCATCGTCATCATCGTCATCACCATCATCATCGCCATCATCATCATCGTCATCATCATCGTCATCATCATCGTCATCACCATCATTGTCATCACCATCATCGTCATCGTCATCATCATCGTCATCACCATCATCGTCATCATCATCGTCATCACCATCATCGTCATCACCACCACCATCGTCATCACCATCAATATCGTCATCATCATCATCATCACCACCATCATCATCGTCATCACCACCATCATCGTCATCACCACCATCATCGTCATCACCATCACCACCATCATCATCACCACCATCATCATCATCACCACCATCACCACCATCATCATCATCGCCATCACCACCGTCTCAGGGGTCAAAGTTTCTGTTTGTGTCCACCCACGGCGTCGTCTCTACCCCCCCCACCGCCCCCCCCACCACTCCCCCCCCCACCCCCACCCCCACCGGCCCCCCCACGTGACCGTGGAACATTCCGGCAGCTCCGTAGGCGGCGTTGGCCAGGCCGGCCTTGGGCGACGGCAGCGCCAGGACACGCCGGTCGTCATCATCGACGACGTCATCATCGACGTCATCATCGACGTCATCGTCGACGTCATCATCATCGACGTCATCATCGTCGTCATCATCAACGTCATCATCAACGTCATCATCGTCAACGTCGTCATCATTGTCATTGTTGTCGTCATTGTTGTCATTGTTGTCGTCATTGTTGTCGTCATCATTGTCATCGTCATCATTATCATCGTTGTCATCAACATCGTCATAGTAGCAGAGGTCGCCATTGGTGGTAGCGGTGAGGCCAACACCACCACTACTACCACCACCATCACCAACATCACCACAACCACCACCACAACCATCAACACCGCCATCACCACCATCACCACCACCACAACCATCACCACAACCACCATCACCACAACCACCATCACCACAACCACCACAACCACCACCAACACCACCACCATCACCACCATCACCAACACCACAACCACCACCACCACAACCATCACCACCATCACCAACACCACAACCACCACCACCACAACCATCACCACCATCACCACCAACAACACCACCACCACCATCACCACCACAACCACCACCACAACCACCACCACAACCACCACCATCACCACCATCACCACCATCACCACCACCACAACCACCACCACCATCACCACCAACAACACCATCACCACCATCACCACCACCACCACCAACAACACCACCACCATCACCACCAACAACACCACAACCAACAACACCACAACCATCACCGTTATCGCCACCCACGGCCACCACCACCCACTCCGGTCGGCGTTGTTGTTGTTGTTGTTTTACAAGCGGGGGACGAAGTTGTTGAAGTTGTTGATGTTGTTGTAGTTGTTGTTGTGGTAGTTGTTGTTGATGTTGTAGTTGTTGTTGTTGATGTTGTAGTTGTTGTAGTTGTTGTTGATGTTGTAGTTGTGGTAGTTGTTGTAGTTGACGTTGTAGTTGTTGTTGTGGTGGTAGTTGTTGTTGTTGACGTTGTGGTTGTTGTTGTTGACGTTGTTGTAGTTGATGTTGTTGTGGTAGTTGTTGTAGTTGTTGTAGTTGTTGTTGTTGACGTTGTAGTTGTTGTTGTAATTGTTGTTGTTGTTGATGTTGTAGTTGTTGTTGTTGTGGTAGTTGTTGTTGTTGACGTTGTAGTTGTTGTTGTTGACGTTGTTGACGTTGTTGTAGTTGATATTGTTGTGGTAGTTGTTGTAGTAGTTGTTGTTGTTGTAGTTGTTGTTGACGTTGTTGTTGTTGTAATTGTTGTTGTTGACGTTGTTGTTGACGTTGTTGTTGTTGTTGTTGTTGTCGGGGGCGTTGTCGATGCTGCTGTTGCCGCTGTTGCACCAGCGCTTGCTGCTGCTGTGCTAGCGGTTGTTGATGTTGTTCTTGATATTGTTGTTGATGTTGTTGTTGATGTTGATGTTGTTGTTGATGTTGATGGGGCGTGGCCACGCAGGCCCTGCCGTTGCCAGGGGGCGTGGCCGGGCAGGCACTGCCGTCGCCATGGGGCGTGGCCACGCAGGCCCTGCCGTTGCCAGGGGGCGTGGCCGGGCAGGCACTGCCGTTGCCATGGGGCGTGGCCGGGCAGGCACTGCCGTTGCCATGAAGCGTGGCCACGCAGGCCCTGCCGTTGCCAGGGGGCGTGGCCAGGCAGGCACTGCCGTTGCCATGGGGCGTGGCCACGTAGGCCCTGCCGTTGGCATGGAGCGTGGCCGGGCAGGCACTGCCGTTGCCATGGGGCGTGGCCACGTAGGCCCTGCCATTGTCATGGGGCGTGGCCGGGCAGGCACTGCCGTTGCCATGGGGCGTGGCCAGGGAGGCCCTTCCGTTGCCATGGGGCGTGGCCACGCAGGCCCTGCCGTTGCCATGGGGCGTGGCCAGACAGGCCCTGACGTTGCCATGGGGCGTGGCCAGGCAGGCCCTGACGTTGCCATGGGGCGTGGCCAGGCACGCACTGCCGTTGCCATGGGGCGTGGCCAGGCACGCCCTGACGTTGCTAGGGGGCGTGGCGACCAGCAGGGGTCGCTCCTCCTCCTCCTGCTGCTGCTGGTGGTGGTGGTGATGCTGCCCAGCAATTGGTCCACGCGGAGGCCAATCAGGGGAGGCCGGCGAAGCCTGGGCGGGGCTGGGCCCACCAGGGGGCGTCTCTAATTGGTGGAGGCAGGAGGAGGGGGCGGAGCTAGTGGAACAAAACCTGGAGGGGGGGGGGGATGGGGGGAGATGTTGATTACATCACCTGGTACACAGGAAGTCGTGGGTTCGATCCCAAATGACTCTTATGAGATGTTGACTACCTCGCCTGGTCCACAGCAGGTCGTGGGTTCGATCCCAAATGACCCTGATGAGATGTTGACTACCTCACCTGATACACAGGAGGTCGTGGGTTCGATCCCATATGACCCTGATGAGATGTTGACTACCTCGCCTGATACACAGGAGGTCGTGGGTTCGATCCCATATGACCCTGATGAGATGTTGACTACCTCGCCTGATACACAGGAGGTCGTGGGTTCGATCCCAAATGACCCTGATGAGATGTTGACTACCTCGCCTGGTACACAGGAGGTCGCGGGTTCGATCCCATATGACCGTGATGAGATGTTGACTACCTCGCCTGGTACACAGGAGGTCGTGGTTTCGATCCTAAATGACCCTGTGAGATGTTGACTACCTCGCCTGGTACACAGGAGGTCGTGGGTTCGATCCCAAATGACGCTGATGAGATGTTGACTACCTCGCCTGGTACACAGGAGGTCTTAGGGTTCGATCCCATATGACGATGATGAGATGTTGACTACCTCGCCTGGTACACAGGAAGTCTTAGGGTTCGATCCCATATGACCCTGATGAGATGTTGATTACATCACCTGGAACACAGGAAGTCTTAGGGTTCGATCCCAAATGACCCTGGTGAGATGTTGACTACCTCGCCTGGTACACAGGAAGTTGTGGGTTCGATCCCAAATGACGATGATGAGATGTTGACTACCTCGCCTGGTACACAGGAAGTCGTGGATTCGATCCCATATGACGCTGATGAGATGTTGACTACCTCGCCTGGTACACAGGAGGTCGTGGGTTTGATCCCGACCCTGGCGATTTTTCCCCGAGTGAGTGAGTGGGTGATTGGCTGAGTGAGTGGGTGATTGGCTGAGTGAGTGAGCGAGTGGGTAAGTGAGTGAGTGGGTGAGTGAGTGAGTGAGTGGATGAGTGAGTGGGTGGGTGGGTAGGTGAGTGGGTGAGTGAGTGAGTGGGTGAGTGAGTGAGTGAGTGGGTGGGTGAGTGGGTGAGTGAGTGGGTGATTGAGTGAGTGAGTGGGTGAGTGAGTGAGCGGGTGAGTGAGTGAACGGGTGAGTGAGTGAACGGGTGAGTGAGTGAGTAGGTGAGTGAGTGAGTGAGCGAGAGGATGAGCGAGTGGGTGAGTGAGTGGGTGGGTGGGTGAGTGAGCGAGTGGGTGAGTGAGTTGGTGAGTGAGTAGGTGAGTGAGCGAGTGGATGAGTGAGTTGGTGAGTGAGTAGGTGAGTGAGTAGGTGAGTGAGCGAGTGGGTGAGTGAGTTGGTGAGTGAGTAGGTGAGTGAGCGATTGGGTGAGTGAATTGGTGAGTGAGTAGGTGAGTGAGGGAGTGGCTGAGTGAGTAGGTGAGTGAGTGAGTGAGCGAGTGGGTGAGTGAGTGAGTAGGTGAGTGAGCGAGTGGCTGAGTAAGTTGGTGAGTGAGTAGGTGAGTGCGAGTGGCTGAGTGAGTAGGTGAGCGTGTGGGTGAGTGAGTTGGTGAGTGAGTTGGTGAGTGAGTAGGTGAGTGAGCGAGTGGGTGAGTGAGTTGGTGAGTGAGTAGGTGGGTGAGCGAGTGGGTGAGTGAGTTGGTGAGTGAGTAGGTGAGTGAGCGAGTGGGTGAGTGAGTTGGTGAGTGAGTAGGTGGGTAAGCGAGTGGGTGAGTGAGTTGGTGAGTGAGTAGGTGAGTGAGCGAGTGGATGAGTGAGTTGGTGAGTGAGTAGGTGGGTGAGCGAGTGGATGAGTGAGTTGGTGAGTGAGTAGGTGGGTGAGCGAGTGGGTGAGTGAGTTGGTGAGTGAGTAGGTGAGTGAGCGAGTGGGTGAGTGAGTTGGTGAGTAACTCACCGTGTCTCTATGGGGGAGACTTCCACCTCTTCAGGCACCTTTACAGCAAACTGAGGAGGCATTGGAGTAAAAGAGTGGGAGTTTGGATTTAGGGTTACGGTTATGGCTTAGAGTATTAGAGTTAGGGGTTAGGGTATTAGAGTTAGGGGTTAGGGTATTAGAGTTAGGGGTTAGGGTATTAGAGTTAGGGGTTTGGGTTAGGGTATTAGAGTTAGGGGTTAGGGTATTAGAGTTGGGGTTATGGTATTAGAGTTAGGGGTTAGGGTATTAGAGTTAGGGGTATGGGTTAGGGTATTAGAGTTAGGGGTTATGGTATTAGAGTTAGGGGTTAGGGTATTAGAGTTAGGGGTTAGGGTATTAGAGTTAGGGGTATGGGTTAGGGTATTAGAGTTAGGGGTTTGGGTTAGGGTATTAGAGTTAGGGGTTAGGGTATTAGAGTTAGGGGTTTGGGTTAGGGTATTAGAGTTAGGGGTTAGGGTATTAGAGTTAGGGGTTTGGGTATTAGAGTTAGGGGTTTGGGTATTAGAGTTAGAGGTTAGGGTACTAGAGTTAGGGGTTAGGGTATTAGAGTTAGGGGTTTGGGTATTAGAGTTAGGGGTTAGAGTATTAGAGTTAGGGGTTAGGGTATTAGAGTTAGGTGTTTGGGTTAGGGTATTAGAGTTAGGGGTTAGGGTATTAGAGTTAGGGGTTAGGGTATTAGAGTTAGGGGTTAGGGTATTAGAGTTAGGGGTTTGGGTTAGGGTATTAGAGTTAGGGGTTAGGGTATTAGAGTTAGGGGTTTGGGTATTAGAGTTAGGGGTTTGGGTATTAGAGTTAGAGGTTAGGGTACTAGAGTTAGGGGTTAGGGTATTAGAGTTAGGGGTTTGGGTATTAGAGTTAGGGGTTAGAGTATTAGAGTTAGGGTATTAGAGTTAGGTGTTTGGGTTAGGGTATTAGAGTTAGGGGTTAGGGTATTAGAGTTAGGGGTTAGGGTATTAGAGTTAGGGGTTAGGGTATTAGAGTTAGGGGTTAGGGTATTAGAGTTAGAGGTTAGGGTATTAGAGTTAGGGGTTAGGGTAGTAGAGTTAGGGGTTAGGGTATTAGAGTTAGGGGTTAGGGTATTAGAGTTAGGGGTTAGGGTATTAGAGTTAGGGGTTAGGGTATTAGAGTTAGGGGTTAGGGTATTAGAGTTAGGGGTTAGGGTATTAGAGTTAGGGGTTAGGGTACTAGAGTTAGGGGTTAGGGTATTAGAGTTAGGGGTTAGGGTATTAGAGTTAGGGGTTAGGGTATTAGAGTTAGGGGTTAGGGTTAGGGTATTAGAGTTAGGGGTTAGGGTATTAGAGTTATGGGTTAGGGTATTAGAGTTAGGGGTTAGGGTATTAGAGTTAGGGGTTTGGGTATTAGAGTTAGGGGTTAGGGTATTAGAGTTAGGGGTTAGGGTATTAGAGTTAGGGGTTAGGGTATTAGAGTTAGGGGTTAGGGTATTAGAGTTAGGGGTTTGGGTATTAGAGTTAGGGTTTGGGTATTAGAGTTAGGGGTTAGGGTATTAGAGTTAGGGGTTAGGGTATTAGAGTTAGGGGTTTGGGTATTAGAGTTAGGGGTTAGGGTATTAGAGTTAGGGGTTTGGGTATTAGAGTTAGGGTTTGGGTATTAGAGTTAGGGTTTGGGTAGTAGAGTTAGGGGTTAGGGTATTAGAGTTAGGGGTTTGGGTATTAGAGTTAGGGGTTAGGGTATTAGAGTTAGGGGTTAGGGTATTAGAGTTAGGGGTTTGGGTATTAGAGTTAGGGTTTGGGTAGTAGAGTTAGGGGTTAGGATATTAGAGTTATGGGTTAGGGTATTAGAGTTAGGGGTTAGGGTATTAGAGTTAGGGGTTTGGGTTAGGGTATTAGAGTTAGGGGTTAGGGTATTAGAGTTAGGGATTTGGGTTAGGGTATTAGAGTTAGGGGTTAGGGTATTAGAGTTAGGGGTTAGGGTATTAGAGTTAGGGGTTTGGGTATTAGAGTTAGGGGTTAGGGTATTAGAGTTAGGGGTTTGGGTTAGGGTATTAGAGTTAGGGGTTTGGGTTAGGGTATTAGAGTTAGGGGTTAGGGTATTAGAGTTAGGGGTTTGGGTTAGGGTATTAGAGTTAGGGGTTTGGGTTAGGGTATTAGAGTTAGGGGTTAGGGTATTAGAGTTAGGGGTTAGGGTATTAGAGTTAGGGGTTAGGGTTAGGGTATTAGAGTTAGGGGTTAGGGTATTAGAGTTATGGGTTAGGGTATTAGAGTTAGGGGTTAGGGTATTAGAGTTAGGGGTTTGGGTATTAGAGTTAGGGGTTAGGGTATTAGAGTTAGGGGTTAGGGTATTAGAGTTAGGGGTTAGGGTATTAGAGTTAGGGGTTAGGGTATTAGAGTTAGGGGTTTGGGTATTAGAGTTAGGGTTTGGGTATTAGAGTTAGGGGTTAGGGTATTAGAGTTAGGGGTTAGGGTATTAGAGTTAGGGGTTTGGGTATTAGAGTTAGGGGTTAGGGTATTAGAGTTAGGGGTTTGGGTATTAGAGTTAGGGTTTGGGTATTAGAGTTAGGGTTTGGGTAGTAGAGTTAGGGGTTAGGGTATTAGAGTTAGGGGTTTGGGTATTAGAGTTAGGGGTTAGGGTATTAGAGTTAGGGGTTAGGGTATTAGAGTTAGGGGTTTGGGTATTAGAGTTAGGGTTTGGGTAGTAGAGTTAGGGGTTAGGATATTAGAGTTATGGGTTAGGGTATTAGAGTTAGGGGTTAGGGTATTAGAGTTAGGGGTTTGGGTTAGGGTATTAGAGTTAGGGGTTAGGGTATTAGAGTTAGGGGTTAGGGTATTAGAGTTAGGGGTTTGGGTATTAGAGTTAGGGGTTAGGGTATTAGAGTTAGGGGTTTGGGTTAGGGTATTAGAGTTAGGGGTTTGGGTTAGGGTATTAGAGTTAGGGGTTAGGGTATTAGAGTTAGGGGTTTGGGTTAGGGTATTAGAGTTAGGGGTTTGGGTTAGGGTATTAGAGTTAGGGGTTAGGGTATTAGAGTAAGGGGTTAGGGTTAGGGTATTAGAGTTAGGGGTTTGGGTTAGGGTATTAGAGTTAGGGGTTAGGGTATTAGAGTTAGGGGTTAGGGTATTAGAGTTAGGGGTTTGGGTTAGGGTATTAGAGTTAGGGGTTAGGGTATTAGAGTTAGGGGTTTGGGTTAGGGTATTAGAGTTAGGGGTTTGGGTTAGGGTAATAGAGTTAGGGGTTAGGGTATTAGAGTTAGGGGTTATGGTATTAGAGTTAGGGGTTATGGTATTAGAGTTAGGGGTTAGGGTATTAGAGTTAGGGGTTAGGGTACAAGAGTTAGGGGTTTGGGGTTAGGATTTGGGGTTAGGATTTGGGGTTAGGATTTGGGGTGATGATTTGGGGTTAGGGGTTGGGGTTAGGATTTGGGGTTAGGATTTGGGGTTAGGATTTGGGGTTAGGATTTGGGGTCAGGATTTGGGGTTAGGGTTTGGGGTTAGGATTTGGGGTTAGGGTTTGGGGTTAGGATTTGGGGTTAGGATTTGGGGTTAGGATTTGGGGTTAGGATTTGGGGTTAGGGGTTAGGATTTGGGGTTAGGATTTGGGGTTAGGATTTGAGGTTAGGATTTGGGGTTAGGATTTGGGGTTAGGGGTTAGGATTTGGGGTTAGGATTTGGGGTTAGGATTTGGGGTTAGGGTTTGGGGTTAGGATTTGGGGTCAGGATTTGGGGTTAAGATTTGGGGTTAGGATTTGGGGTTAGGATTTGGGGTCATGATTTGGGGTTAGGATTTGGGGTTAGGGTTTGGGATTAGGATTTGGGATTAGGATTTGGGATTAGGATTTGGGATTAGGATTTGGGGTTAGGATTTGGGGTTAGGATTTGGGGTTAGGATTTGGGGTTAGGGTTTGGGGTTAGGATTTGGGGTTAGGATTTGGGGTTAGGATTTGGGCTTAGGGGTTAGGATTTGGGGTTAGGATTTAGGGTTAGGATTTGGGGTTAAGATTTGGGGTTAGGATTTGGGGTTAGGATTTGGGGTTAGGGGTTAGGATTTGGGGTTAAGATTTGGGGTTAGGATTTGGGGTTAGAATTTGGGGTTAGGATTTGGGGTTAAGATTTGGGGTTAAGATTTGAGGTTAGGATTTGGGGTTAGGGGTTAGGATTTGGGGTTAGGATTTGGGGTTAGGATTTGGGGTTAGGATTTGGGGTTAGGGGTCAAAGTTTAATCCTCCCACTCTCTCACCTCCGTGAGTCTCGTCTGCGATTGGCTGGCTCCAGGCTCGTGGGCGGAGCCGTTGGCGATCACGTGACCGCCCCGCTTGCCAATGGCACGCTCCCGTACCTTCCTCCTGGACTTCCTGTGCCCAATCAGAATGCTCAGTTTGTTAGACACGCCCATCATGGGGGAGTTGCTGAGTGGGTGGGTGGGGGAGTGGCTGAGTGAGTGGGTGAGTGAGTGAGTGGGTGAGTGAGTGAGTGAGAGGGTGAGTGAGTGAGTGGGTGAGTGAGTGAGTGGGTGAGTGAGTGAGTGAGTGGGTGAGTGAGTGAGTGGGTGAGTGAGTGAGTGAGTGGGTGAGTGAGTGAGTGGGTGAGTGAGTGGGTGAGTGAGTGAGTGGGTGAGTGAGTGGGTGAGTGAGTGGATGACTGAGTGATTGACTGAGTCACTGAGTGACTGACTGAGTGACTGACTGAGTGACTGGGTGAGTGGGTGAGTGAGTGGGTGAGTGGGTGAGTGAGTGAGTGGGTGAGTGAGTGAGTGAGTGGGTGAGTGAGTGAGTGGGTGAGTGGGTGAGTGAGTGGGTGAGTGAGTGAGTGAGTGGATCAGTGAGTGAGTGAGTGGGTGAGTGAGTGGGTGAGTGAGTGGATGACTCAGTGATTGACTGAGTCACTGAGTGACTGACGGAGTGACTGACTGAGTGAGTGGGTGAGTGGGTGAGTGAGTGGGTGAGTGGGTGAGTGAGTAGGTGAGTGGGTGAGTGAGTGAGTGGGTGAGTGGGTGAGTGAGTGGGTGAGTGAGTGAGTGGGTGAGTGAGTGAATGAGTGGGTGAGTGAATGAGTGAGTGAGTGGGTGAGTGGGTGAGTGAGTGACTGACTGAGTGACTGACTGAGTGACTGAGTGACTGACTGAGTGACTGAGTGAGTGAATGAGTGACTGAGTGAGTGACTGACTGAGTGACTGAGTGAGTGACTGACTGAGTGACTGAGTGATAGAGTGACTGCCTGAGTAACTGAGTGACTGAATGAGTGACTGAGTAACTGAGTGAGTGACTGACTGAGTGACTGAGTGAGTGACTGACTGAGTGACTGAGTGAGCGAATGAGTGACTGAGTGACTGAGCGAGTGACTGAGTGACTGAGTGACTGACTGAGTGACTGACTGACTAAGTGACTGAGCGAGTGACTGACTGAGTGACTGAGTGACTGACTGAGTGACTGACTGAGTGAATGAGTGAGTGACTGACTGAGTCACTGAGTGACTGACTGAGTGACTGACTGAGTGACTGAGTCACTGACTGACTGAGTGACTGAGTGACTGACTGACTGAGTGACTGACTGAGTGACTGACTGACTGAGTGACTGAGTCACTGACTGACTGAGTGACTGACTGACTGAGTGACTGAGTGACTGACTGAGTGACTGACAGACTGAGTGACTGACTGAGTGACTGACTGAGTGACTGACTGAGTGACTTAGTGAGTGACTGAATGACTGAGTGACTGAGTGACTGACTGACTGAGTGACTGAGTGACTGACTGAGTGACTGACTGAGTGACTGACTGAGTGAGTGACTGACTGAGTGACTGACTGAGTGACTGAATGACTGAGTGACTGACTGAGTGACTGACTGAGTGGCTGACTGAATGACTGAGTGACTGAGTGAGTGACTGAGTGAGCAACTGAGTGAGTGACTGAGTGACTGACTGAGTGACTGAGTGATTGACTGACTGACTGAGTGAGTGACTGACTGACTGAGTGACTGACTGAGTGACTGACTGACTGAGTGATTGACTGAGTTACTGAGTGACTGACTGAGTGACTGATTGAGTGACTGACTGAGTGAGTGACTGAGTGACTGACTGAGTGAGTGAGTGACTGAGCGACTGACTGAGTGAGTGAATAACTGACTTAATGAGTGACTGACTGAGTGACTGAGTGACTGAGTGACTGAGTGACTGACTGATTGAGTGAGTGGAGTGAGTGACTGAGTGACTGACTGAGTGACTGAGTGAGTTACTGAGTGAGTGACTGAGTGACTGACTGAGTGACTGACTGACTGAGTGACTGACTGACTGAGTGACTTACTGAGTGGGTGAGTGAGTGAGTGGGTGATTGAGTGAGTGGGTGACTGAGTGACTGACTGAGTGACTGACTGAGTAACTGACTGACTGAGTGACTGACTGACTGACTGAGTGACTGAGTGAGTGACTGAGTGACTGAGTGAGTGACTGACTGACTGACTGACTGACCGAGTCAATGACTGAGTGACTGAGTGAGTGACTGAATGACTGAGTGACTGAGTGAGTGACTGAGTGACTGACTGAGTGACTGAGTGAGTGACAGAGTGACTGAGTGAGTGAGTGAGTGACTGAGTGACTGACTGATTGACTGAGTGAGTGACTGACTGACTGAGTGACTGACTGAGTGACTGAGTGACTGACTGAGTGACTGAATGGGTGACTGAGTGACTGAGTGATTGACTGAATGACTGAGTGCCTGACTGAGTGACTGAGTGAGTGACTGACTGAGTGACTGAGTGACTGACTGAGTGACTGACTGAATGAATGAATGACTGACTGAGTGACTGCCTGAGTGACTGACTGAGTGACTGACTGACTGATTGACTGACTGACTGACTGACTGAGTGACTGACTGAGTGACTGAGTGACTGAGTGACTGACTGACTGAGTGAATGAGTGAGTGACTGACTGAGTGACTGACTGAGTGACTGAGTGACTGAGTGACTGACTGAGTGAATGAGTGACTGACTGACTGAGTGACTTACTGTGTGGGTGAGTGAGTGAGTGAGTGGGTGACTGACTGACTGACTGAGTGACTGACTGAGTGACTGACTGACTGAGTGACTGACTGACTGAGTGACTGACTGAGTGACTGACTGAGTGACTGACTGACTGACTGAGTGACTGACTGAGTGACTGACTGAGTGACTGACTGACTGACTGAGTGACTGACTCAGCTACTCACTTTCCAGCACAGTAAGCCACCACACACATCACTGCCACCACGAGAAGAGCGATGGCGATGCCCGCGATGGTCAAAACTCGCTTCTCATACAACTCGTGGGCCTCTGTGTGGGCAGGGTGGGGAGGGTGGGGAGGGTGGGCAGGGTGGGGAGGGTGGGCAGGGTGGGGAGGGTGGGCAGGGTGGGGAGGGTGGGGAGGGTGGGGAGGAGGTGATGGTCATTTTCAGAGATTCACAGAGACTCATAGAGACACACAGAGAGACACAAAGAGACACATAGAGAGACTCAGAGACTCACAGAGACTCACAGAGACACACAGAGAGACTCACAGAGACACACAGAGACACAGAGACACACAGATACTCACAGAGACACACAGAGACTCACAGAGACACACACAGAGACTCACAGAGACACACAGAGAGACTCACAGAGACACACAGAGACACAGAGACACACAGATACTCACAGAGACACACAGAGACACACAGAGACTCACAGAGAGACACAGAGACTCACAGAGAGACACAGAGACTCACAGAGACACAAAGAGACACACAGAGAGACACAGAGAGACACAGAGAGACACAGAGAGACACAGAGACACACAGAGAGACACAGAGACACACAGAGACACACAGATACTCAGAGAGACTCACAGAGACTCATAGAGACACACAGAGAGACACACAGAGACCCACAGAGACAGACAGAGACTCACAGAGACACACAGAGACACACAGAGAGACACAGAGACCCACAGAGACACACAGAGACACACAGAGACACACAGAGACTCACAGAGACAAACAGAGAGACTCAGAGAGACACAGAGACACACAGAGAGACTCACAGAGACACACAGATACTCACAGAGACACACAGAGACACACAGAGACACACGGAGATTCACAGAGAGACACAGATACTCAGAGAGACTCACAGAGACACACAGAGACTCACAGAGACACAGAGACACACAGAGACTCAGAGAGACACACAGAGACACACAGAGACACACAGAGACTCACAGAGACACACATAGATTCACAGAGAGACACAGAGACTCATAGAGACACACAAAGACACACAGAAACACACAGAGACTCACAGAGACACACAGAGACTCACAGAGACACAGAGACACACAGAGACTCACAGAGACAGACAGAGACACACAGAGACACAGACACTCACAGAGAGACACAGAGACACACAGAGACTCACAGAGAGACACAGAGACTCACAGAGACACACAGAGACACACAGAGACTTACAGAGACACACAGAGACTCACAGAGACACACAGAAACACACAGAGACTCACAGAGACACACAGAGACTCACAGAGACACAGAGACACACAGAGACTCACAGAGACAGACAGAGACACACAGAGACACAGACACTCACAGAGAGACACAGAGACACACAGAGACTCACAGAGAGACACAGAGACTCACAGAGACACACAGAGACACACAGAGACTCACAGAGACACACAGAGACACAGAGACACACAGAGACACACAGAGACTCACAGAGACACAAAGAGACACAGAGACACACAGAGACACACAGAGACTCACAGAGACTCACAGAGACACATAGATTCACAGAGAGACACAGATACTCAGAGAGACTCACAGAGACTCACAGAGACTCACAGAGACACACAGAGAGACACACAGAGACACACAGAGACTCACAGAGAGACACAGATACTCAGAGAGGCTCACAGAGACACAGAGACACACAGAGACTCATAGAGACACAGAGAGACACACAGAGACACACAGAGAGACATAGAGAGACTCAGAGACTCACAGAGACACAGAGACACACAGAGACTCAGAGACACACACAGAGACACACAGAGACACACAGAGACACAGATACTCACAGAGAGACACAGAGACTCACAGACACTCACAGAGACACACAGAGACTCACAGACACTCACAGAGACAAACAGAGACTCACAGAGAGACACAGAGACAAACAGAGACACACAGAGAGACACAGACACTCACAGAGACACACAGAGACACACAGAGACACACACAGAGACACAGAGACACACAGAGACTCACAGAGACACACAGAGATTCAAAGAGAAACACAGATACTCAGAGAGACTCACAGAGACACAGAGACACACAGAGACTCAGAGAGACAGACAGAGACACACAGAGACACACAGAGACACACAGAGATTCACAGAGACACAGAGAGACACACAGAGACTCACAGAGAATCACATAGACACACAGAGACTCATAGAGACACAGAGAGACACACAGAGACTCACAGAGACTCACATAGACACACAGAGACTCACAGAGACACACAGAGACACAGAGAGACACACAGAGACACACAGAGACACACAGAGACACACAGAGAGACACAGAGACTCAGAGACTCACAGAGACTCACAGATACTCACAGAGACACACAGAGACTCACAGAGACACACAGACTCACAGAGACACACAGAGACACAGAGACACACAGAGACACACAGAGAATCACAGAGACTCACATAGACACACAGAGACTCACAGAGACACACAGACACAGAGAGACACACAGAGACACACAGAGACTCACAGAGACAAAGAGAGACTCACAGAGACAAACAGAGACTCACAGAGACTCAGAGAGACTCACAGAGACACAGAGAGACACAGAGACACACAGAGACACACAGAGACACACAGAGAGACAAAGAGAGACACAGAGACTCACAGAGACTCAGAGATACAGAGACACACAGAGACTCACAGAGACACACAGAGACACACAGAGACTCACAGAGACACACAGAGACGCACAGAGACACACAGACACACAGAGAGACACAGAGAGACACAGAGACACACAGAGACTCACAGAGACACACAGAGACACACAGAGAGACACAGATAGACGCACAGACACACAGAGACTCACACAGACACACAGAGACTCACAGAGACACACAGAGACTCAAAGAGACCCACAGAGATTCACAGAGACTCACAGAGACTCACAGAGACTCAGAGAAACTCACAAAGAATCACAGAGACACACAGAGACACACAGAGACACACAGAGACTCACAGAGAGACACAGAGACACACAGAGACACACAGAGACTCACAGAGACACAGAGAGACACAGAGAGACTCAGAGACACACAGAGACACACAGAGACTCACAGAGACACACACAGAGACTCACAGAGACACACAGAGACACACAGAGACTCACAGAGACACACAGAGACACACAGAGACACACGGAGACTCACGGAGACTCACTGAGACACACAGACAGACACAGAGACACACAGAGACACACAGAGACACAGAGAGACTCAGAGACACACAGAGACTCACAGAGACACACAGAGACACACAGTGACTCACAGAGACACACAGAGACACAGAGACAAACAGAGACACACAGAGACTCACAGAGACTCACAGAGACACACAGAGACTCACAGAGACACACAGAGACTCACAGAGACGCACAGAGACTCACAGAGACAAACAGAGACAGACAGAGACTCACAGTGACTCACAGAGAGACACACAGACACACACAGAGACTCACAGAGACACACATAGACTCACAGAGACACACAGAGACTCACAGAGACACACAGAGACACACGGAGACTCACTGAGACACACAGACAGACACAGAGACACACAGATACACACAGAGACTCACAGAGACACAGAGAGACACAGAGAGACTCAGAGACACACAGAGACACACAGAGACTCACAGAGACACACACAGAGACTCACAGAGACACACAGAGACACACAGAGACTCACAGAGACACACAGAGACACACAGAGACACACGGAGACTCACGGAGACTCACTGAGACACACAGACAGACACAGAGACACACAGAGACACACAGTGACTCACAGAGACACACAGAGACACAGAGACAAACAGAGACACACAGAGACTCACAGAGACGCACAGAGACTCACAGAGACACACAGAGACACACGGAGACTCACAGAGACACACAGAGACACACAGAGACTCGCAGAGACACACAGAGACTCACAGAGACAAACAGAGACTCACATAGACCCACAGAGACACACAGAGACTCACAGAGACCCACAGAGACACACAGAGACATACAGAGACACACAGAGACTCACAGAGACACACAGAGACACACAGAGACCCACAGAGACAGACAGAGACTCACAGAGACACACAGAGACACACAGAGACTCACAGAGACACACAGAGACCCACAGAGACTCACAGAGACAAACAGAGACTCACAGAGACTCAGAGAGACTCACAGAGACACAGAGAGACACAGAGACACACAGAGACACACAGAGACTCACAGAGACTCACATAGACACACAGAGACTCACAGAGACACACAGACACAGAGAGACACACAGAGACACACAGAGACTCACAGAGACAAACAGAGACTCACAGAGACAAACAGAGACTCACAGAGACTCAGAGAGACTCACAGAGACACAGAGAGACACAGAGACACACAGAGACACACAGAGACACACAGAGAGACAAAGAGAGACACAGAGACTCACAGAGACTCAGAGATACAGAGACACACAGAGACTCACAGAGACACACAGAGACACACAGAGACTCACAGAGACACACAGAGACGCACAGAGACACACAGACACACAGAGAGACACAGAGAGACACAGAGACACACAGAGACTCACAGAGACACACAGAGACACACAGAGAGACACAGATAGACGCACAGACACACAGAGACTCACACAGACACACAGAGACTCACAGAGACACACAGAGACTCAAAGAGACCCACAGAGATTCACAGAGACTCACAGAGACTCACAGAGACTCAGAGAAACTCACAAAGAATCACAGAGACACACAGAGACACACAGAGACTCACAGAGAGACACACAGACACACACAGAGACTCACAGAGACACACATAGACTCACAGAGACACACAGAGACTCACAGAGACACACAGAGACACACGGAGACTCACTGAGACACACAGACAGACACAGAGACACACAGAGACACACAGAGACTCACAGAGACACAGAGAG